ATATAATCCTGATCTAGATGCTGCTAGGATATTTTGGGAAAATGAACCATATGCTATTAAATCTTTACTAAGAGCAAAAGCTCCCATAATTAAAAGCAAAATAAAAAACTATTTGCAGAATTTGATGCCAGCAGGGTGAAAGAATACATTTAAAGCAAAGTAAGGTGCAACAGTTAGAACTGGACATGGAACAATGGACTGGCTCAAAATTGGGAGAGGAGTACATCAAAGACCTGAGTCTGAGCAAACTCCGGGAGATAAGGACAGGGAAGCCTCGCGTGCTGGTGTTGGTGCGGTCGCAAAGAGTCGGACACGACTAAGCAACTGAACCACAAGATGCTGGAGACAGTCTGCGGCCGGAAGCAGAAATTGCTGAGCACTCCCCCATCCCCTTTCCCTGAAAGGTCTCCCATCCCCTCACCTTCATGTCCCTCAGTGATGCTGCCCAGGCAGTGGCAGGGGAGGGGAAGGAACATTCCAACCTGGAGACGGGGACCCCAGGATCTACGCAAAAATCTCCTCCTCTTCCAACCTGGATGTTTATACCTATTTGTGTCACTGAAGGGCAGTGAAAAATTTAAACACAGCTGTTTACTTATCACTCTCCTGGCCATAAATCAGTGTTCCTACTAACGCACAAGGTGATCCTGAAACAATGGAAAATGGGAAGGCTGGAGGCGACTGTGTGAGGATATAATGTTTTAATAAAAAGAATAAACACAAGATCCTGAGTAAAAATATCCAGAACAAGCAGGTGACCTTGAAAAGTAACATAGGATTTTGAGAGCCACAGTTACTAAAACCCTATAAACATTTGCTTCAGTGCATAGTGGGAAATAAAACAAGACATAATCTTAACCCAAACCTTAAAAATAATATTTAATAACTTTCCACATAAAGACACAAACAAAACCATAGAATTTATTCTTACTTTATTAACAATGTGGCTTACAATTTTTTCAAGTAAAAAGGGGTTTTTTCATTTAGAATAAAAATTAAAATATAACTCTGATATAGATTTTCATTTATTTACATGAAAACATATATACAGAATATAATCTTACAGCAAATCAATGACATGCCCTTTTGTCCTGCAATTTCAAAAGTAAAAACACCAACTCTTCTCTTTTATGCACCAAAACAGACACAAGATATGAATCAAGTTCCAATACAAACTATTCAAACTGGAACGCAGAGCAGTAAAACAGCTTTCGACGGTCACGACTAGGGGTAGTTTATGCTTCTAGACCTCATGCAGGCTCCCATTCTGAACAACAAATGAGATGATCTTTTTTTTCTGTCATTTAAAACATTTTTTGTCTTCCATCTCCCACTGTAAAGTGATTTTCAGCAAATGCCGATTAGAACTTTTTCTTCAACACATCCCTCTGGTCCACATGAAGCCCCTGATCTGTCCGGCGATGCAGCTATTGACCTACTGGTCCTCACTGGTACCCAATCCTAGCCTAGCCATTTTAAAAATAAAACCAGTAAGATAGAAAGTCTGCAGCTCAGGATACTGTGTTATTACCAATCCTCTAAACCAGAGATGCTTTACTTAACCAAAACCCAAGGCAACACCGTGTTAGCACTTAGAATTTTTAGGTGAATTCAGTGGGTCAAAAACAGCACAGATGGATACCGGTGCCTTGGGTTCAGGACCCATGCAAATCAATGCAAAAACTAGTGATAAAAGTTATGAGAATTGCCCAATGTAAAAACTCAACCCAGCTGAAAGGAGTAAAGCAATTTCCAAAGAACTCTTGAACAGAAAAGAACAAGTCAAGGAAGAAAGAGAATCATGACACTGAAATTGTTGCCAATGGAGCTTCTCTTGTTATTCAGTTATTTCACAAGCGGTATGTATGCATCCCTAACAATTGTTTGTACCTTAAAAACTACAGCTACCTGAAAATTTACTATTTTTCCTTTCAAAAAACTGTACCGTTGGTCTCAGTTTTCTAAAGACAAAGGATAGAGCAGGACTTGGAGCCTAGATTCACCAAAAAAGCAACAACAGTGCTCAAACCACAAAGATTTTACTTAACGCAACTGTTTCTACAGTTCTATCTACAGAAATAAACACAAATAGGTGTTTGACAAAATTAGTATGAAACTTCTAATGCTTCCAAAACGATGTCCTTAGATAGGGACACTTGGTTTAAGATAAAAAGCAAGTCTCAGAACTCGCCTGATAACAATACTTCAGATTCTCTGACACATTAAGGAAACTGAGACCAATCTTCAAAGGCTGATCAAAACCAACCTTTCAGAGACTGTCGTGTGGGCCAGTGTGAAAGGTCTGAGTCATTCTAATTCATTGAGAAACAGATCAAACACAGGAAATCACCGTTCAAAAATGATCAAATAAGGCAAAGCAACCTAACAGCTATACAGTGCAAACTGTGAGTCAAACTTTGATCAAATGAACCTAATTTTAAAAGTGATGGATTTCTCCATACTATGCAACTTTGTGGTGAAGGAAACTGGGTTTTTGCTTTTTTTTTTTTTTGGTAAAGCAAAAAATGAGTTCTTCTGTAATGGGGGTCATACCTTACTTACTCTTTCTAGGTTTACATTTTTGTGTATAAGAGATTTTCCTAACACAGGACACAAACAGTCAAGAGATCAGAGGTCGACAGAAGCATCCTTAGCTTTAGGGTGGGACTGAGTGATGGACTCAGCCTTCGAGATGAGCTGCTACACTGCACAGACAGAAGCATCTGCATCTCAGGCAGTTCCTGAAGGGACCAAGCAGTGTGGTGAGCAGAGGAGAGGACTCTGGTCCCAAAGCGTCTTCTGGGAGGCCGCGGGGAGATGGCAGCATCTGGGGATGAAGAGGGAAGGGGGCATCGCTGGGTGGAGCATTTCTACCAAGAAGGGTTTATCCCAGGGGCCGTGGTGCGCTGGCGGCTACAGGTGTGAGATGAACTCTTCCCGCCACGAGGGACAGAAACACAGTAACGACACAGTCACGACAGGCAAACGTTCCTTGAAAACCGGCCGTTTCTCTGAGATGGAAGCTGGTGAGCGGTGATCCCTACAGAGACAGGAATGCCACCGGACACTCTGCAGCTCAAGTCCCGCTGACGGGAAGCGGCACAGAGACAGCAGAGGATTCCCGGAGAGCCGGAGGGCTCCGCGTGGGCAGCACTCGGAACGAAAAACATCTTCTTGACCCTGAAGAGTCTCCCGGCTTCCAGCAGGGCGGGCTGACGGCACCCCGACGGCCTCAAGCTGCAGCTGGACCTCTCCCGGCCTGGCACGGCCGGGCCCTCACCAGGCACGCGGGTAGACAGGGCTGAGCCCCCAGAGACGGAGGACGAGGGTCTCTGGGCACCTGGCCCCTCGGGGAGAGGCCGCGGCCCCAGTGACGGCGGGGTGTCTTCCTCAGCTGCCAGGTGGGAGGCCTCCAGGGCTTACCCCCACACCCACGGGTGCCAGAGAGCACAGTGGTCCAGTGCAACCCGCCCCAGAGCCATCCAGGGAGGGCACGAGAAGGCGACACCCATCCTGAAAGGGTGAGTGGCCCCCCGTCATTTGCACCCCACGTGCAATGAGAAGAGCTCAGCTAGGAAAGGCCACAGTGAGGATCACAAGCATGTCCAAGGCAGGAAAACCCCCAAGACCTTACAAGGAGGCCCTTCTCAAGCAGCTGACAGAGCTGACCTCCCTGGGATGGAGGGTTGAAGACAAAAGCCCGCGGCTGAGGAGACAAGAGATGAAGAACAGAGAAAGGGCGGAAACTTGAGCTCAGAGAAATCAAACCACAGGCCAGGCCTGACTCCCCATGAACTGTCCGTACTCGGGCCGAGAAGATGGGGCTCCCGGCCACTCCACCGCCAAACGTTTAAACCTGCCTTAGGGCCAGTCATGGGGGAGATGACAGCCTCAACCACGAAGTGCGTGTTTCCCCTTTTCATCAGTAATGGTGACAGATGATGACAAAAGGTTAGCCTCCGTGATTGAGCCTCTCAAGATCTGACAGGACGTCGGGCCTCCGTATGTTGCAGAAATACGAGCAGCTCATCAGCCCACCCAGGACGTTATTCCTGGAACTGCTGACACTCTCATCAAAGAGAAAAGGTCAAAATAATAAAGGAAGAGAAGGCTGTGCACCCCCGCCTCTCCGGGGCAATGTGGAGGCCCAGCTTCCGCGCACAAGTTTAAAAAGGCATTTAAGCAACAACCAGCCCAGAAGACAATGGTCCGTTTGGGACTGCAGGGTGCATGTGGACAAGTGCCTGGTTCCAGAGACCAGCTGGCTCCTGGAGCCACGGATCTCCCTATAAATGACGGGACCCACTTAATGAAAACTGCCAAGAGACATCCCAAGTAAACCAGAGGCAGGGTGGGCTGCAGCTGTGGCGCGGTCACTCTCTTTGTCTCATTCTGGCCAATCCAGACTCTCCCCTGACAGCAGGAGCAGGCTGGGGACAAGGGGACCCACGTCCCCGCCACATCGTAAGAGTTCATACCTGTCGGTTTACTGGAAGGAGGTCCAGGGTGATTCAACATCAGACCAGATGACGGGGTCAGTCACTGGCTGACCCAGGGGCGTGTGTGCCTCTGCCTCTGCAGAGGTGACCAAGGTGGGACTCAGAGGGGACCTCCCCGGGAAACCCGGGGCAGTGACCCCTCTCAGGGGAGGAGCATCAGCAGCTTTCCCCAATCTCCCCCCGGCTTTGCTCTCCGGAATGAAGCTCTGCCTTCAATGCACAATTCAAGATGCCCCAAAAGATGTGAGGAGTCCCTCTTCCATCTGGTCATGGTCATTCAGAACGTGGGGGACCTTGAAGGTTCCAAGGTCAGCAAGGAACGCCTTCCATAGGACGGCAAGCATGTCTCCTCCCTGAAGGCTCCCTGGATGCCCACCTCCCCACTGTTGACATGCTCCTTCTCCCTTCACTGCCTAACAGGCAGAGTCCCTTTTCCGCTAACTGTCATCTGAAAGATCGCCCAGAGCCGTGCGTGAGAAATGAGCTGCCACCAGACCAAACTGCAGTGACAGCCACGCGTATCGACCTGAAAGAAGCACCTTTGGAGGCACTTGGGGTACAAGGACAGTGAGGTCACCGGAAGACCTCCTTCCGGCTCACGACGGAAAAGACATCAGCTGTGCCGGGTTTTTGAAGCATGGGCCTTGGCTTAGGAAGCTGCCTGGTCTGGGGTAGGAGAAAGATGGGGTGTGGTCTACAGAGATGCAGGTCCACACCCGTAGGGTATGAGCGGTAACTCACACCCTGCAGGACCACAGCTGTGGGCTTGGGTGCTCTGCAAATGCGGAAATGTCAAGCAGGCTGGTGGGCGGAGGAGGCCCTCGTGTGGACACCTGTTGGATGCACCATCACACACGTCTGGGGAAAACAGAAGTTCCAGTCCGGGAAACCTCCTGAGACCCAAGACGCGGCATTCAGCGGGCCGGCGGGCAGCCTGGGAGCAGGGCGGGGTCAGTTGGCATACTGGGCGTAGAAGGCCACCTTGACCCGCTCAATCTGGTGGCAAAGCTTGATGGCGGGGCCCAGCTTCAGCTCCATGCACTCCTGCACTGTGGGGAGCGTCAGCAACAGGAGCGCCTGCCCGTCGATGTCCTGCTGGGAGAGAGAGCAGGTTAGAGCCAAGACGGCAACTTGGCTTGATGGCTGCCTAACCCCTTGTTGAGAAAACGTTTCTGCTAAAAGAACACTGGCTACTGTGAAATTCACCAGCCCGGACTGGAAGGGACGGAGGGCTGGACTCGACTGTCCCCGAGCTCCAGCCCTTGGGGCTGTGGTGGGCAAGCCCCCCCGGCCCCCAGGTCCAGCCTGTCCTGGGCTGTGGTGTCCCCCCGCTGCTCTGCGGTGACTCTCTGAGCCCTGAAAAGGGCTCTCCACCAACAGGAGACCGGCCGTGACAGCTCCCATCAGGAGGGCGGAGACGTCGTTAACCACACAACGCGATCCTCCGTAGAACATGTGCGCTTAGGCACCTGTGTGCACGCACACCCTTACATCTGTGACCTGCGTCAGCCAGAATGAGGCCTGAGCTCTGTCTTATTTAGCTTTCTGCATCCATACACAGGGGCCCCACGATGGAGAGACTCACTCAGTGGTGGGTGAGCCGCAGTCACTGCAGAAAGAAGAGCAAGGTTCTGCCCGAGGCTTCAGGACCCTGCCTCGGGCAGCTCTGCTCCTTGACCAGCCTGCTTCCCGTAAGAACTGGGTTTATTTATCCAGATGTTGTTTGACTGGGCTACTGAGTGTCACTGCAACCCCTTCCAGGGCACCCAGCCTTCACATTCGGAGGAAATGGGTGAGGGTCTGAGAGCCTGCAGGCCCGAGNAGCCCGAGAACGGACAAGGAGCCACCCAGGGCACAGCCGAGAAAGGTCGCCAGAGCCGGAGATGCTGGGGGGCCAGGGACAGCCTCGTGCTGAACTGTCTGTCAAAGCAGGGAGCCAAGCCGGGTGCGGGGTCTTTGTTGCCCCGGCTCTATCCTCAGCACCCAGAGCAGTTCCCGCTGCCACAGAACAGGCTCACTGAACACGCGCCAAGAGAACGCACGGGAAGAACTGGCCGTGATGAACACGAAAGTCCAAAGGTGGGGAAAGGAAATGATAAAGAGTCTGGAGGGTGAGCAGAAACGGAGGAGAAGCAATTTGGGCAGTTTGCTTACTGCATGACTGTGATTCACAAAAGGTGAGTGACTGTCAAAATTTTATGAGTTTTGTGTTTTTATAGATGTGTGGCGGTTTCCTATATACTGTACATGTTTGCAGCATGAAATTATAGAGTATAGGTTTTTTAAGCAGCTGCTGTAACATTTCAGAATCAAAAAGCATATATTCTGGCAACAGGAAACTTGCAATTTTTGTAAAAGCTCCTGGTGATTATGACAGTCTCTGAATTTACCACTCAGAATTAGGGGAGGGAAGGCGTGTGGCTGTGATTCCATGTGCTGTGAATTCTCACACAGGCTAAACCCCCAGCTCCTCCTTGTTCACCTAAAAACTCATCCAACACCTGAAGTGACCCCCTGGAGGCCTCATCAAATCAGAGCTGCAGCACTTGGGCTCAAAGTGAAAGAGCAAATTAGTAATTGAAGGTCTGAGTGAACAAAAACTCCCGCAAGTGCCCAGAGACGTCAGGCAGCCCCACGAACAACGGCCTTCTACTGTGACAGATGAAATGGCCTTACGTAGACGTTAAATAGAAACAAGGCTGCGATCAACTAAATTCTACCTATTTTTCTCTCTATAAGAGAAATAAGTAGAGACACAGGGCTGAGTCTCTCAGTGATGTGAGAAGATGCGCCTTATTGATCCTAAGAGTGGCCAAGTGTCAGGAATGTTTTAGACGTCTTAACTTGGGAAGGCACAAAACTTTCTGACATTTTACTATAAACAGGGATTAAAGTCTAATGAAGCACGACTCAGGATAAGCAGTATTTTAGCCTCTTCCTCAAATCAGCTCTGTTTTCACTTCCTTCCTTATTACCAGGTATTTAGAAAAGGAATCAACACTGAATCCGATGAACAGTGACGAAAGCAGTGTTCAGCAAAACGCAGGGGCTGGGGGCTTCTGCCTCTGGGAAGATCAAGTAGACTTTTCTCTCTTTTTCCAGAGACGTGAAAGTCCTGGTGGGAGTGGAGAGAGGAACAAGACCAGCCAGGGACGTGGGACCCCAGATGCAACCCGGTGGCCAGAGCTCAGGCTTCTGTTTGTCGGCTGCCCTCCTGTGAGTTTAGGATTGTTGCTGTTCAGTCACTCAGCCGTGTCGGACTCTCCGCGACCCCATGGACTGCAGCACGGCAGGCTTCCCTGTCCCCCACTGTCTCTCAGAGTTTGCTCAAACTCGAGTCCTATGACTTTACTACTCAACAAGCAGGCAGTCCAGAAGTGTCAATGGGTACTGATGAAGCAACCCAACCAAAGCCTCTGCTCTCTCTCCTGGAAGATGGAGCTGGGAAGACAGAAGCCTCTCAGACGACAGCTGCTTGACTGTGGGACAAGCGTCCCCCACCCGTCAGCAAAGGCAAAGCCAGGAGCACTGACCACCAGCCTGGCCAGGCCACCTAAGACCCCCCAGCGTCCCCTCTCCCCCACCACAGGGTATCCGAGAACACCCAGGGAAACCTGAGATGTCATCTCCATCAGATGTCAGAGCCCCCGCAGGGGTGCTGGTGGGACCACGTGTGGAGCTTCCTGCTCTCTGCCCCCAGTAATGACAAGGCCCTTTCCCCTGGCGTGGCCGACTCCCAGGAAGCCAGCTGACACAGAAGACCCAGGACAGAAGCCCATACCTGCTCCTGAAATATCTTGGCCAGGGGCGCGCAGTCCGTCAGCTTGATGAACCTCACCACATCCGTCACCGACCACTCCAGCGGGTTGCTCTCCAGAACCAACCTCTCTTCCTCCTCCTGCTTCACATCCTGCAGATGGAAGAGAAGCGAGAGGTCTTTTCATTGCTTCCTAGATGGTGGTACACTCTCTGAACCCAGCGGGCTGCATCCAGACTTCCTGGACCGCATGCGGCCTCCTTACTGGGCACCCGGGCAGACACAGCTACAGCCAGTATCTAGGGAAGTGCTAAGCAACTCGTCTGGGCTGTGACTTTGCTTCTAAGACTTGTGCGTCTTTAGAGGTAATAAAGAAAAAAAGAAAACAAGGCATGGCGATGGTGACTGTGACTCCCAAGCTCAGGAGGTCTGGGGCCAGCTCGTCACTGGCTCCATCCTTGATGGTGAAGAAGTGGCAGGAGCCGGTGACTGGACGAGAGGCCGCTCTGCCCTCGTGGACGTGTGTGATGCTGGTGCCAGCGACCTGCCAGCTGACTGTGTGACACGTGGGTTCAGGGGAGACCTGACGCTCCGACTACACATTTTATAGCATCATAAGGTCTCCTAAGGAGGGAAAGCCCAGGGTTTAATGGGACCATGAGGACTTGCTGTCTGTTCCCCTGACAAGAGTCCCTGTGGCTTTCAAGTCTTCCCCAGAACCCCATCCTGAGGCTCACTGCCCCCTTCACTGGATGCGGAGTCACCAGGATTTCTGGCCCCGATTCAGGAACTCAGCGGAAGCAGCTGCTAGAGATTTATCTTAAACTAGGGGCCCAAGTGCACCCGGAGCTGTCCCCACTGGGGGCACCAGACAAGCCAGTCCATGCGACCCACGCTTCACCTCTGCTGCCTCCTGGCTGGCGGCCGGACTCCGGGGGGCCCCTTCGGCCTGGGGGGCGGCCGGCACCCTCCGGGCCCTGCGCGTCCTCTCCACGGGGGCCCGGCGCTCGGCCTCCACGCTGCTCCGCAGGGTCACGGCCCTCCGGGGCCGGGTGGAGGGCACCTCGGCCGAGGACGTGTCTGTCTGGTCATCACGGATCTCGGAGCCGGTCTCCTCACTCCCAGAGTCATCGTCCACGGCGTCTGCATCCTCCTCTTCACTCTCCTAGGGGGATGGGAGGTACACTGAGGCGGCAGAGAAGGCAGGAGGGGGCCTGCCACTCCCCACAGACCCTCCCCTGCCTGGCACCCGCGCCGCCCTCCTCGTGAGGTTTGTCCAAAGAGGCCCAGAAGGCGGACCCCAGGGTCCCACCCACAGGGCCCCAGTGGACCTCTGTCTGCCAGAGACGCTGCAGTGTTCAGTCTATTCTACAGGTAAGACAGGGCACCGGCTCATGATCCCCACCGCTCGGCATCAGACCACGGCCTCGGTATCAGCAGTGAAGCTGCAGCTCTGCTTCCCGATCGACCGTCAGCAGCGTCCGAGCCGGACGTACCTCTCCGGAGCCTGTGGCCAAGTCCACAGCGGACGACCTCCGCTTCTTCTGCACGAACATGGATTTTCGTCGCTTCCTGCGTCTGGCCGGTTTAGGGTGTCCACTCTCAACGCGGCTTTCCCCAATCGGAGGCTTGCTGATCTTCCTTCTCTTCCCATAATAGTAAGCTAGAGAGAGATGGTTAAAATCATTGTTAAAAGGTTACATCCAGGGCTTATGTGGAGGAAGAGGGAGGGAGGAAAGATGGAAAATGAAAGAAGAGGGAGAGGGAAGTGAGAGAGAGAGAAAGGAGATCAACAATTGAGATGAAGCTTCACATCCCATTCGCATCTCGGGAAACAATTCTGACAAAAGTGGCTCACAGGGAGGAATCCTGTTTCAATGCCCTTGTGGTCACAGGTATCAAGGGCAGAAGTGGTCCCTCTCAGAACTGGTGGTGAACACGCAGGCCAAATTAATGGGGCATCTTTTTACTTTTCAAATAGTGTTCCTTACCTGTTATTCTTTACTCCTTCAGTGGACACTTCCCTTACTTCTGAATTCAACAGCAGAGCTATAGGTCTGTGTTAGAAAATTTCTCACCAAATTTCAATAATACTGATGCATTTTATAAGCTGAATGTCTAATCAACTAATTAAAACCGACTGCAATCCAGTTTTCAATTATGATCACCATCCAGAACGCTTCCTCAATTAACTGAAGCTTCAACTGTTCCGTATGGAGCTCTCATAAAAGAACCAAATGCACCAAAGGAAGCTTTATCTAACGGCTGGAGGCATCAGAAAGAAAACACCAAACGCACCCAGGTGACAGACAGGGGTCCACACATCTCCAAGCTGCTGTACCGGAGAGGAAAGTCACCAGCCTCCAGACTGCAATTTTCTCAGATGCAAAATGACCAACCAAAACTATCTATTTCCAGTACCTCCCACCAGGTCCATAAACTAGGTCCATAAAGATGGCGTTTATAAAAACCGTCGAGAAACCCACCCATGGGTTAAGTGAACAAACATTTATACATCAGTGTCTGATACCCAGAGAGAACTATGGTGCAGCTCGTCCAGGACCGTGGTCCCAAAAGAACCAGAGACACCCCCCTCCCATTCCTTACACCAGGAGAGAAACGCATGAGTATCTACAAAGCAAACCTTAAAGAATTCTCCTGCGGCTATTCCTATGAAAAGCTGTTTGAAAGGACTGGAAGCCCACCAACTACATCACCCTACAGTGCAGACCCACAGGTCGCGGTTCCTTTTGCTTCCCACTTACTGTATTTGGTTTTGGTGTGGATAGAGCAGTTCTCCGGGCAGTTTTCAGAAACCAGCATAGGACTGAACAAATTTGGACAGCACTCGAGCTTGGCACAGACCCGGCGGCAGAAGTCCGCTACCTGGTCGGATGTGCGGACGATCTTGGCCACAGCCCGGTACGTTTTGCCTCTGTACCTGGAAACAGAGAAGGAAAAGTGATAAAGAGACCACGGGCTGGCTGATCTACTCCATACAGTGGATTCCGAAGCAGCACATTCGCTCTCTAACAACAGGGTGGGCTGTGTGTGGTTTCTCTTCCCTTTGCTTTCATTGTTCCTTATGAGTTCACAGAACTGTTTTTAAGACATGCCCAGTGCTGTGGGCAATTCTCGTGGTGACCACACGCATGGTCACTGACACCCACAGAGAACCCAGGATCCCGAAAAAAAGGCTTCCAATCGGTGCCTTATACTAGTGACTGAAGTCAAAGTCACTCCGTCATGTCTGACTCTTTGTGATCTCATGGACTGCAGCCCACCAGGCTCCTCTGTCCATGGGATTCTCCAGGCAAGAATACCGGAGTGGGGAGCCATTGCCTTCTCCAGGGGATCTTCCTGACTCAGAGATCGAACCTGGGTCTTCTGCATTGTAGGCAGATTCTGTACCATCTGAACTGCCAGAGAAGCCCATTCTCACCATGGTATACATAACTGAACACCCCTCCAGAATGCTTCTGGAATCCAAACAGTGTCATTCATGGCTCAAGACTCTTTGAGAAAAAACTTTCTCCTGCCCAAGAAAAACCGCATGAAATCACCAATGTAAAACTAGAACCCAGATCTTCTGAAAAGCAGATTGGATGGCTTCCTGTCTTAAAAATATGTACTGCAGCCCTCATTCAAGTGCTTAGGATTAACAATGCTGTAGATCACCCTGGCTGAAAAGGTAAGTTCTTGGAAATAGGTTTAAGTCACCTTTCAACACAGTTTTTAAAACTACCATTGGTACAAAATGGTTACAAATTTCTCGGTTGGCAGCAGATCCCAGGTCTTCATTTAATTCACATCTCACTAAACTTAAGAGAGTTCACTGAAATGAGGACCCATCAAAACAACTGGGCTCTGCCCTTGATGGACTCCCTAATTGTTAAGTGGAAATCCTGAACGATAATTGATTTTCCAGGAAAGAGGCACGGAGTGGTAACTCTGGCTGGGAACAGTTGTGTTAGTTTTAGGACAAACTGCCGTAGAGAAAGAAGCACCAGGGAGGCCAGCCTTGTCAGTTTCCACATCAGCAGGGCCCACCTGCTCTATTACACACTTGCGTACAGATCTCCCTCGACTTCCGACGGGGGCTGTGTTCATCCCTCGGTTGTGTCCGACTCTGTGATTCCACGGACTGTAGCCCACCAGGCTCCTCTGTCCATGGGATTCCCCAGGCAAGGATACTGGAGTGGGTTGCCATTTCCGTCTCCAGGGATCTTCCCGACCCAGGGATGGAACTTGTGTCTCCTGCATTGTAGGTAGATTCTTTATACCACTTGGGTTATCTGGGAAGCCTCCTCTGATAGAGGTTACATCCCAATAAACCCATCTTATGTTGAAAATATCCTACATTGAAAATGCAATGTATTAAAAAAACATCTAATGTATCAATAATACATCTAATGTATCAAACCTCACAGCTTCACCTGCCCACCATAAATGTGCTCAGGAAACTCACATTAGCCTACAGTTGGGCAAGCCCATCTGACATAAAGCCTATTTCATGATAAAGTGTTGAATATCATGTGTAATTAACTGACAACAGAAGTGAAAAACAGAAGGGCTGTCTGTGTCCGGGACAGTTGGAAGAGTGTGGGTTGTCCACCCTCGTGGTCTCGTGGCTGACGGGGTACCATGGTCTCCGCCCACCACCCCAGACGACCGGGCAGCACAGAAGCCCGGGTAAGACCAACAGGCTCACGTCCAAGTACAGTTTCAGCTGAACGCGCGTCACTTTCACAACATCGTAAAGCTGAAAAATCAAACTGAACCATCTTCAGTCGAGTGGCGGGCCGGTCTCCAACACTCAGCCTCAAAACACTGCAGGAACCACAGGCAATTTGTACAAAGGAAAGTATAATATGAGATCGCCACTGCTGCAATTTGTGAATTAGACATTTCATGCTCAAAACCTAGATCTGGTTCACTAAGAACAGTGGGAGAGATAAGCTGCTTTTGAGTTAATGTCAACTTGTTTTTCCTTTCCTGTCCTTCTGAAGGCTCAACAACTATATGCCAGTGACATTCTTCTCTAGGCGGGGCAGGTGGCTGCAGCTCAAAAGCACGGGCCAGCGCCTCTCACTTTACCCCACAGTGTGAACCCGGAGGGACAACACAGCGCCGCGGGAGTTTATTCAGTGCCCAGCAAGGCTGCTGTAAACCTTAAGATGAGGTTTCTGAAGCACATACGACAAGTTCTCTGAAGAAAAAGGGGGAAATGTTGAATGGGACCGTCAGCCAGGCCGCAGCAGACACAAGTAACATTCCTGGAAGGAAGGAGGGAACGAGGAAACGGTCACGGGGGGAGGGGGGAAGTGATGAGGCGCAAGGATGATGAAAAAGATGGGGAGGAGAGAGCCGCAGGAGGACACGGGGCGAGAGCAGACCCTCGGGTCAGATGGTCCTCAGAGAGGAGTGCTGGCTACATTTCTGCTTTCCCGAGACTTCTTCCTCTTTCTCCCACAGCGTGGCTGCATTACCAAGGTTCCAGAGAAATCTGGGTGTGAGAGAGGAATCCGCTGGGGGAGGGAGTGCTGAGCTGACATGGGTGTCAGACGCACACTCTGAAACAGGACAGGAAGGGAGAGGACCTCAGAGGGACCGGCTCCCTGACGGCCACGCAGGGACCCTGGCAGACCCCACAGTGCACAGAAAGTCTATCTGAAGAGGAAGACGGCTCACCATTCAACAGATGCAGAAAGAAGCTTTCTCGGAGATTCCGTTATCGAACTCAAAGCAGAAACTTCAGAGAAACAAGGATCATCATAAATCCCCTCTTTGGGGCATAAATCCCAGGGGTAAACCTACCATAAATCTCCTCCTGGAGAAGTTCCATGGCCTTGAAGAAGAAAGACCACTCCTGCCTGCATAAACTATCCAGAACTTTCTTATCTCCCAGTTTTTCTCTTAAAAACCCATTTGTATTTCCCAAAGAAACCTATCTGTTCCTCCCCTAGAGGCCTTTTCTTCCCACTCCATTCCCCCTACTAGGTTATGTCTGACGTAGGTGTAATTTCCAAACCTCAGCACAGAGCACTCTTGTGTGTGCATGCATCCCACCAGCAAAGAAATGGTTTTTGTATCTTGCTATCTTTTGTCAGTTTAGTTTACAGGCTCCCAGGCACTGAACCTAAGAGGGTAGATAAAGGGGTTCCTCCCCACCCAACATCAATAAGGAAGTGTGTAGCCTTCCAATAACTTCCTACCAACTAAAGATTTACATCCATGTGTGAATGCAAAATAATGCTCAAAATCCTCCAAGCCAGGCTTCAACAGTACATGAACCAAGAAATTCCAGATGTTCAAGCTGGATTTAGAAAAGGCAGAGGAACCAGAGATCAAATTGCCAACATCTGCTGGATCATCAAAAAAGCAAAAGAGTTTCAGAAAAACATCTATTTCTGCTTTATTGACTACGCCAAATCCTTTGACTGTGTGGGTCACAATAAACTGTGGAAAATTCTTCAAGAGATGGGAATACCAGACAATCTTACCTGCCTCCTGAGAAATCTGGATGCAGGTGAAGTAGCAACAGTTAGAACTGGGCATGGACCAACAGACTGGTTCCAAATAGGAAAAGGAGTATGTCAAGGCTGTATATTGTCACCTCGCTAATTTAACTTATATGCAGAGTACATCATGAGAAACGCTGGGCTGGATGAAGCACAAGCTGGAATCAAGATTGCTGGGAGAAATATCAATAACCTCAGATATGCAAATGACACCACCCTTATGGCAGAGAGTGAAGAAGAACGAAAGAGCCTCTTAATGAAAGTGAAAGAGGAGAGTGAAAAAAAAGTTGGCTTAAAACTCAACATTCAAAAAACAAAGATCATGGCATCCGGTCACATCATTTCATGACAAATAGATGGGAATACAATGGGAACAGTGATAGATTTTATTTGCTTTGGCTCCAAAATCACTGCAGATGGTGATTGCAGCCATGAAATTAAAAGATGCTTGCTCCCTGGAAGAAAAGCTGTGACCAACCTAGATAGCATGTTAAAATCAGAGACAAACTCTCTTCCCTGTCAGTTAGGAGTTGAGAAAATCAAAATGGGCCTTGAGTCAAAAAGAAATACAGAATGAAAACACCGAACCTAGTTCAAGCAGAATGACTTCAATGTGGTCTAAGTTCTATCATTCATCTACAAAATGATCCATATTGGGACCTTTAAAAAAAAAATTGTGATGCAAGATTTACTTGTGACAGAAATATGACAATGGAGAATAAGGTTTCAGTCAAGCTGAATTTACATTCTGAAATATTTACCGAAGAATTAAAAGGGAAAAAAAGATGATGACTGGAGAAAGAAGGATGCTTGGCCAGCAATGAGAAAAATCCCTTTTCTCATTAGAAGTCAGCAGTAGGGGATGGCCCCAATTTCTTTCAAAACAAAGCTTGTACTTCCTTGGTCATGTCTTCTTAATCTAAAACTCGGGTCTAGAAAATGCAATACTGGCTTTCAGTCTTAAGATACTCAACTCCTCAGAAATTTCTCTCTTCTTTCTTGATTCCTGTATTTCAAGTTATGGGAACTCTATGTGATAAACGGGGTGTGTATTTATTTTACAAAAGACAATTCTGATTCAGAACACCTCCAACTGGTCTGTGTGACCCAGAAATGTTGTGCCCAATCTTGATGAATTTATTACACACCAAAAATTCAGTCTTCTCTTTAGAAACTGGCTCACCTGCTTGCTTATCATAATGTTTACAGCATATATTTTCAGGAGAGCAGATTTCTCAAATCTGAGCGAAGTAAAAATTAACATGAACAGACAATATCTTTTTCAGTGAAAAGTCGCTCAGGGAATTCTTTTGCAAATAATTCTCCTCGATAGCCAAGTATTACATCTTACCATTCATAAGGTATGGGCATGAATAAATGCCCCTGAAAAAGTGAAATAAATGAAAACACATGCAAAATTAGTCATTGCTTGTGAAAAAATGAACCAAAACACATTGCCACAGAGCTGCACACGACTCACCTAAGGGTGAAGATTTGACTTTATCTGATTTTATCCCCTTGTTTCTGCCTAAGTGATTAAGAAATCTAATTCACTCAAAAATTACATCAAGATATTTCCTCTTTAAGTATTCTGCATAACTGTAACAAAAGACTGGGAAAATCCATTAAAACTCCACCCAGCCTTTATAAAGATTGATTGTCACAAAAGTCATTCACACAAGAACTAACTCTTTTCTTCCCCCTCAGGAAGATTCTATATACATTTTGGAAAACATATGTAAATGTCTCTAAATGCAGAGGATAGGAATTCTTTTAAATCCTCCTAAGGTATAGCCAGGCGTAGCCTAAATTCTTTCTCCTAATATTTAAAATAACATAGGTTGATTCAGTGATGTCAATTCCCCAGAAACAAGCAACTTTCTCATCTAGAACTGCTGAAGTGAGCTACACTAGTATCCCTTTTTCCCTTTTCAACAGAGTTATTCCCGGTTTTGCCTTTCAATCTATGTTGTAGACTTATTATACGATAGACTCATACAGTTTTCAAATAGTTCAGTAATCAGTTCTGGTATAAAAGATATGCAGGCATGCTAAGTCACTCCAGTCGCTTCACAAAGGCATGCTAAGACCCTTTGTGATCCCTATAGACTGCAGCCCACCAGTTGTTGGATAAATAGGCAAGAATTGCTGGGGAAAACAATAGATGACAGTGTTTACTTTTCTTCTATTTATGGGTCAAATCTTGTCACTACTGTCCATGGGATTTTCAGGAGTCATGTACAGATGTGAGAGCTGGACCATAAAGAAGGCTGAGTGCCAAAGTATTTATGCTTTTGAACTGTGGTGCTGGAGAAGACTCTTGAGAGTCCCTTGGACTGCAAGGAGACCAAACCAGTTCATCCTAAAGGAAGTCAACCCTGAATATTCATTGGAAGGACTGATGCTGAAGCTGAAGCTCCAATACTTTGGCCACTTGATGTTGACGAGACGACTCACTGGAAAAGACCATAATGCTAGGAAAGACTCACGCTAAAAGAAGGTGGTGGAACAGGTTACAGATTGCATCACCGTTTCAACAGACACGAATCTGAGCAAACTCCATGAGATTGTGAAGGATAGGGAAGCCTGGCATGCTGCAGTCTACGGGGTCACATAGAGTCGGACGTGACTTCGGGACTGAACAAAAACAACCTTGTCAATGTCACCCCCACCTTCTTACGTAAATAGGTCTTTTCAGAAGAGGAAAAAACCAATCAGAACCCCCAGATGTTAAGTGCCAGCATTTGCAAAATCCTATGGATGAAGAGCGCATATTATTTCTTCCTGAAAACACTCTCTGTGATGTTATAATTTGAGGACCACAGCCAAGACAAGTAAATGCATTAAAGTAGTTCTCCCCCTCGCTGAGTTAATCTATTCATGACAGAAGGCATTTCAGCCTTTCAGCAAAATGGGAAGAAGTCAACTCTCCTCCCATTCGCACCAATGAAAACATCAATGTTATCAAGATCTAAAAAAGTTGTCATTTCACATCAGAAGGAAAGAGGTGAATCAACACATAGTATTATAAGGGGTGTTCCTGCTGACTATAAATCTGTCATCATTAGCAGCTGCTTTGAGATGCTGCTCTGATTCAGGTGCTTGAAACCCACTTCAGACGCACATTTTCTCATTACAAGTTGCTATGTAAGATTCCGCTAAGGCACACGCTGTCGTGTTTGATATAATCAGTAACACGCTGCCTTTACAAGGCAGCAAGGCTGGGTCACACTGTGTCTGTTCTGATTGTGTCAGGCTGGTCTCATAAAAGCTCTGATTGACTTGGGAACATGAAAATGAGTGCAAACAGTGCAAAATAAACTCTCCCTGTCACTTTGCGATTGGAGCGAGTTTCTGGCTTGCTTAGGGAATCGGGGAGATTTTAATGGAATTTAAGATTGCTGTACTTTTACTATTTCAATATCCTTAGGTATATTTTAGAGGTATTGAATTTTACAGAAAAATTTTAAAACTAGAAATAAGAAGGGCTTTCTGTGTAAATACTTGCCTGGGTTACCTGCCACCACTACCAGTAGGAACTGACCTTGGAAGAAAACATTATGTGGCTAAGGACCACCAACTTACATAAAGTAGAAAAATAAAGATTATTAGATTTGAAAATAGCATGTTTTGTTTTGGGGGGACTATAGGTGAAACTCATTTAAATATTCCTTGGAAAAGAAGGGAAGGGTGAAATATGGTATTCTTCATCAACAAGATGCTTCCAACAGCTCAACACTCTCCTTATTTACATGTACTATGTATTCCCTTTAACTTCTGTGATTTTGCAGAGTACTATTGGACCTTAGATGACTTTTATTGTATCTAAAATTATAGAGATGCTCAGGAAAGACACAAGGAAAGGTTGACTGGATAACTAACAATGAATGCAAAATAACCACAAATTTCGCCACTCAGTCCTCATGTAAGTTAACTCCAGAAGAAAACACTGCTGGTCATAAAAATTATTCAGAATTCTTCAATTTTCACTTTTTTTCTAAAAGAGGACTTAGGTATGCTCTAGCCATTGAAAAGTAGTTCACTGTTTAAAACAACATCATTTTCCACATGTTACAACAAAATGCAGTCTTAGGATGCCGTGATACAGGAAGTGGACCCGTGAAAATGTATTCCACTGGAAAAGAATCAAGTGAATATTAAAACCCCTCTGAAACCATCAAAGCAATTATCAAACATCAAGCTATTTTGAGAAATCGGTCTTTTTCTATCCATCTCTTAAAGAACTGAGTTCTCACACAGAATGCCAGTGAGTGTGCTCAGTTTGAGTTCCAGAAACTTAAAGCAAAGCAAAATAGCACCTTTCCAATTAGCCTGTTTCCAAATAAAGTAAGTGACCAACTATATGTCCACCCACAGCGTTTTAACCAGAGTCAAAGAGAGGTACTGGTTCTTCCTGTTTTTTAGAATTCTCAACTCTGTGGACAAGGAACGTCTGTACCTGCCATGAACTTTACAGTATCAGATACTAAGGTCTGCTGATGAAATATGTATAACATATAAATGTTTCCCTTTGGATTGAATAATCCATCAGCACGTTTTTATTCTGAACGTTTAACACAAAAAACTCCGTGTAGCCAGCACATCTGTGTGGGGCACCCAGAACTGCGGAACAACAGTGCTTCTGTTGATGCCACTTCTCTGGGCCATGTCAAAAACAGGAAGGACCAGTTTCAAAGGGGCAGATAAACAAAGCTGAGAACCCTCATCTTCCAGAAGTGAAGACACTTACTTGGCCTTCAGCGTCTCCTCCTGAAAGTTCCAGTGTGGGTCTTCCACCAGCTGTAATTCCCGTAAAACCCTCCCAGGCTTGTAAGCTGCATTGATGAGCATGCTAAGAACCTGTTGGGAAAAACAAGGAATGGCCGTGAACTTCCAACTGCATCCATTTCTGCTAAAATGAAAAAGCATCCCGCTGACATTTCCGGGGTGTCTGCCCTGCACCTCTATTCAGTGATAGGCTGGATGGAGTCAGAGAGGACAGTTTGCAGACTGGCATCAATGACGTCTCCATCAATGGGACAGGAAGGCAGTGAAATCCAAGGCCTCTGCCTGGGAGAGTGTGAGTCGCCGGGGGGCAAGATGGGTGGGGGTGGCCAGCTCTCGCTAACCTTCCGGACTGCAGAAAAACTGGACTGTTCTCTCCAAAGGCCCACTGATCATCCTTCAACTGGATTCCCCTTCAGTACGATCGGTTACTAAGAATTCCATCTTATTCTTAAAAATATATTTCAAGAGAATCACTAAGACGGAAATGACAGATTTGTGTCCACACTTTTGAATAAGCTTCAAATATCTGTACAGAGGGTTAACAAATTATTTGAAACTCACCTAATGCTGACCCAACTTATGGATATTTAACATTAGGACAATTCTCAGAGATGGGAGTGTTTTGAAAGGAAGTCTGAGTATCTGATGTCACCTGACAACTTCCTCAAACTACCCCTTCACTCCCAAGTCCCAAGTGCAAGAAAATAAGCATATGGCCAGAACCACTGCAATACGCCCAAGGACCAGACACTCCTTCTAAAGACTCAGCTTCAGGCTCTGAGACACTCGTCTTTCCAAAAGCAAACCCTCACTATCAACAAATATTTGTGAGTTCTGGCAGGCTTGTGCTGCCGCTGCTGCTAGGTCACTTCGGTTGTATCCGACTCTGTGCGACCCCATAGATGGCAGCCCACCAGGCTCCCCCGTCCCTGGGATTCTCCAAGCAAGAATACCGGAGTGTATTGCCATTTCCTTCTCCAGGCATGCTCGTGAGCCATCGCTATTGGGACACAGAGCGCAAAACCAAACTCAAAGCTCAACACAGCACATGAAGGAACCCTGAGACCTCGGGGGCTTGCTCCGTGAGATGCCCACTCACTGCAGACCTGCCCCGTGGGGACCCCAGCGCACAGAGACAGGACACGGAGCCACTGCTCCTGAAGTCCCGCCCCGACCAGACCAGGAATGAGCCAGGCTCTGAGTCCACGTGCTGTGTTTCGAGCAAAAACCCACTACGAGACTGAGAAAAACCTCTCACTGAGTTGGGAGGCCACTGGCCGGATTGCTGAAGCACCTGCGATTCTGTGGAGAGCAGCACACTGTCCACGAGAAGGAAAGAGAAGACAGCTGCGTGCGGGTGTGCATGCCCAGTCGTGTCTGACTCTGTGACCCTCTGGCCTGGAGCCCACCAGGCTCCTCCATCCACGGGATACTCCAGGCAGGAATTCTGCAGTGGGTCGCCATGCCTTTCTCCAGGGGATCTTCCCGACCCAGGAATTGAACCCGAGTCTCCTGCAGTTCCTGCAATGCAGGCGGATTCTTTACCGCTGAGTCACTGGAGAAGCCCCCAGATGAAAGGCATGTGGCAGAAATGTTCACGTTTCAGTTTTCAGGTACCTGGCGTGTTCCAGGATGTAACTGGCATGGGCTGCACCTTGTTTTAATTCTGAAAAAGAAAGCTTTATGATCACTGAGGATTTGATCTTAAAATATTCTTTACTCTCAGCAGTTAGCCTGGAAAGTGTCTTTTTCTCATCTGGGCAGCATTTTGCTGTATTCCAAGGTGCCTGTAAAGTGCCACCAAGAGAACACAGTTCCGCCAAGCACTCAACGGCCAGAACACAGCAATACAAGCAGTTCTGGTATGTTTATGTTTTCTCTATTAGAATCATCATCTGGTTTTATTATTTATTGCCAGTACAATTTACAGAAACTGAGTTTAAAAATAAATCCAATTGGCCCTGGCTGAAATAACACACCAAGTGTTTATCAACAGACAATAAAATCTCACCCCAGTCTTGTCACGGTGCTTCACTAAGAAAACCCCAGAGCTACATCTTATTTGTACATCAAAATGCATTTTGTGACTGTGAAAAGCAAATGCCTTCCAGACTTCAATTCAGAGTGGAAATGGCCTGCAATTAAATCGTAAACAGCATGCGATATTAAATAATTTTCCTATGGCTTCTCCCGATGTCACATCATATGTCTCTAAATTCAACAAGCTCTCTACAAAACCTTGGAATTGTGAGTGGAATAATTTGTGTGTACCTGACACTTTGGTGCATTAGAGTTCTCTCCATGAAAATAACGAAGTTGACAGCTGCTACGGCGACCCAAGTTAGACTGAATTACTGAACCTTGCAAAGCATCAGAATTCACATCATTGTGCTCTTGACCACAAAAGGCAGCACACAACTTGTCCCCAAATAACCGACAGGGTGTTTGCTGTGAAGCCAATGAATACTATTCCCAATAAACTGGCGTGAGATTGGTCTGAGTAACTCCAGAGGGAAATTGGCACTACAGCAACATCTCCCTGGATTTCTTAGGGTTCATGAGGGGTGTATTTATTATCACAGAGAAGCAATAGCCTTTATACAGCTGGACGGGTCTGGGATGGGAGCTTTCCCTTCCTCTCAGGCATATGGGGACACAGCAAGAAGGTGGCTGCATGCAAACCTGGAAGCGAGTCCTCACCCACCTGCCGGGCTGGCCCCCCATGGAGGACCTGGAGCCTCAGACCTGTGAGCATCCATGTCTGCGTCCTGAGCTGCCTGGTCCAGTCCATGGTGCCCTGTGACAGCGGCCTGAGCCCACTGGACACCATCCCCTCCCACCTCACACCCCCCCCTCCCCTGGACTGTCACCCTCTGTGTGTGCACTGGGCTTCAGCCTCCCGACTTAAAGGAGGAAAACTACTTTCTCTCTCCATCTCTCATCTTTGGTCCCTCACCTCACTCCTGTCTCCACTGATGGTTAAAACCCTGAAGAACCGCCTACACCCATGGACTCCTCTCTCTCTCTCCTTCAGCTTCTCAGAGACATGATGCAATGGGGCTTCCCGGAAACAGGTCTTATCAAGATTGCCTGAGATGCCAGCTTTGCCAAGAAGGAGTCCTTCTAGGCCTTGTCCTATTCCACCCCGTCAGCAGCTGGTGGCACTGCCTCCTCTGCAGACACTGTCTACCCTTACCCTCAGGACCCCAGGCTCTCATGATCCTTCTATGCCCCCCCAACGACAGTGACCTCAGGGTGCAACCACTAGACTGTCCTCCTCTACCTATATTCACCCAACAGGGCACCTGGTTGCAAACACTGTCCACACACGAGCAAACCCATGGCCACCAAATGTGTGTTGGACTCTCACACCCATCTCCACCTGGCTGGAAGACAGGCAAACTTGCAAGTGCCAAATAGGACAGATTTACCCAGCCACCGCTCCTTCTCCTTGCTGTTAAGGCCTCCGTGAATTCTGTTATTCCAGGTCACTAGGAAACCCTCCCTGTATCCAAAACATGTTGATTTGTTTGTTTACCATCACTCTCTCTAGAACCTAATCCTCGAGAAATCAGGGGCTTCATTTTGTTCATTGCTTTATTCACCGTAGCTAGAACCATGCCTGGCAACAGTAGGTGCTCAATAAACAATTTGGGGAATTTCTTCAATGAATTTCAAGATGGGCACTGAAATTAAATTATTCTATACACCTACAAATTAATGAATGATTGATTCACACCAAGAACTTATTTGGTGCCATAAAATCTATGTCATTGGAGGGAAGCTCAGGAGATAGCACTTGCCACTGATTTCCTTTCCTACAAAATCCTACCCTATGGTGCAATGAGAAAATTCAACAAAGCTATCTTATCTTCTTTATAATAAACCTTAACCACAAAAAAATTACATTTTTCCTAAACTTCCTGGACACTGTCTACTTAATTCCTGTGTCACACATTACATATGTACTACAGTTTCCACCACCCACATGCTTGGTACACAGTTCTCAATGGTCAATGTTCAGCATAAAATCCAGAGAATATCATCCAGAGGCGTGTCTGCATCTCTGACTTTGTTGACTGACTTAACTGGGTGCCATGTAGGCAAGACTTTTCCTCTTTCCAGTATAACCTGAAATGCCTAAGTCCTTGCTCTGAGGCCGTGGGCAGGGGGGAATCACAGTTTTTGCTCACCTTGACCTCCCTCCCAGCTTCCAGCACAGTGCCCACCAGCACGTGCTTATTACTCCTGAATTGCTTTGGACTTGTCTAAATGGACAGATGGATGGAAGTATGATGTTTCATTCTCTTCTTGGTTCCCATGGCTAGGAGACTATCTGACATGACAGTAGCTGCTAAGTGTGCAATAACTGATCGAAAAAGCCTCGGAAGGTGTAGATGGGCAAAAAGAAACATACATGGACCGTTCAGTCCTCACACCGACTTCTGCACTTCCTGAGGCTGGAGAGCTACTAAGCCCACAGAAGCAGACTGAGGGAGATGTCTCTGGTCCACTGCCCTCTCAGAGCTCAAGACCACCACACCTCCCACACAAATGCCAGCGTGGTGTCCACATGCACAGACCTCATCTACCTCTAGAAGAAGCAGGGGGAAAACAGCCATCAGCCTATGTTTTCCAAAGTCAGAGAAACCTTTAACTACGAACACCCCCGATGGCCCAATAAAGCAAACATGCTCTGTCTTTGCTCCAATGATCTCATTCTCCATAAGTGAAACGCAACCTGAAATCAAACACAGGTCCAGGGCAGGACTATTAGCATAAAGACTGGCTTGGCAGACTCACATTTTTCTTGCACTCATAGAACTAAAGCACTTACTTCTTTTTTTCCTCTCTTTCTTGCCTCGTGCATTTTCTGAACATCAGCAAAAAAACTAGTTCTGTCATCAAAAAACTGCTTTGGCCTGGCTTTTAAACTTGGCTGCTGGCACCTATCAGAGAATCGGTCAGGACTAACTACTGTTGACCAAGTATGTAGCAAAGTAAACCAGTCAAGCCTCAGAGAGAGACTGGCCCTGTGGTCACCATGTTTGGTAACCGGGCCCCCAGGTGGCCACGGACCTGACAATCATGTGGGTGTGACACAGTCTCACGGGGACTTTAAACAAGTACCAGGTTTGTGACAGTCCCCTGTTCTGATCGTTGGCAACAATGTCAGCACAAATACAGGCAGGGGACAAGGCTGTGGCAAGGATGACCTCACGGGCTGAAACTGCTGGGGGACTTGGGAGCCCATCCCTGGTCTAGGGGCCTTATTCTACATGGTGATAGAATTCCCGTGTGTAAGCCGGGCTTGTTTCTTCTCTGATCAAGTCTAACATCTGCAGGGTCTACGGTCTGTGTCAACTTACACAGTTTGCAGCTCACCTCCCACCCCGACCTCCCTGAGGCCCTTGAGAGGGACTGCCGGCCCCCAACACCATCTCCCTTTAGCTATCAATTTCTCTTCAATAGGGTCCACTTGCCACTTAGGCTGGGTCATGCCTCCAATGATTTGGGGATGTAAAATATGAAGGTGATGGGTCTAAAGAAAAGCAGGCCTAAATAAGAATACAGGCCAAGCACCAGGGATGGGGTGCAGGCCCCAGGACTCTCTGGACTCAGATTTCTGCACTTTCCAGGCCTGGCCCTGTGGTCCACACACTCAAGGTGCTTCCAGCATTCCTTCCCGTGATCCTGCCAATGCTCCAGGGCGCTCAGATGCTTTTCTAGTCCCTAGAGCGGGCGGCCCCCTTCCCCGACCCCACAGGCCCTGTTCTTGATACAAAGCGCAGCTCATGTAAGTTTGTTCAGTGGGTAAACAGATGGATAAAGAGACCCCTTGAGCCCAAGGAACTACAACACACTCATCATGGTGCACGTGATGTTCTGGGTATGCTTTCTTGTCACAAAAACAGGAACGTTACTATACGAAGGTCCAAGATAGGTCACCTTTTTAAACAAAAGAGTGATGATTCACCAAAGATTTTACTCAAATGTAGTGAGCGTTTCCGCTGACTTGGGAAGGGAAGGGAGGGCCCCCACCACCAATAGAAGGGAGTCCTCCTGGGCTGGAACACTGCTCCCCTGTGTGTGACCATCTTCAGACTGCAGGATGGAGGGGAAGGGGGCGCTTGGCNAAGGGGTGCTTGGCACGTGAATGGACTCAAACCCCGTGACCCCCTCCGGGACCGTGCCCACCCGCGCCGCCCCACCGCTGCCTGAGGCTGTGCGCGAACTTTACCTCTTTCAGCACCAGCACGCACTTGCCCGGCCCCACCGACTGCGGCAGCTCGGCGATCCTCCCCTTGTTGAGGTAGGGGCCCGAGAAGCACCGGTGGTTGATGAAGAGCTGAGGACAGCAGTACTTCCCGTTCACCGTTCCTGCGCGGGAGAGAAACACGGTCGAGGCTCCAGGACCCGCGGCTTAACCCGCTGCGCCAGCAAAGCTGCCCAGAGGGGCCTTGAGTCTCCCTATCAAATGCTTCAGTCCACCATGCTCTGTGAGTTCCAGGGGCACAGCACAATGACCCAGTTATCCATATTTATTTAGCTGATGTTGTTGACCAGTCACTAACATGTCCGACTCTGCGACTCCGTGGACTGTGGCCTGCCAGGCTCCTCTGTCCATGAGATTTTCCAAGCAAGAATAGTGGAGTATGTTGCCATTTTCTTCTCCAGGGGATTTTCCCAACCCAGGGATCAAACCTGCATCTCCTGCATTGGCAGGTAGATTCTTTACCACTGAGCCACCATGGAAATCATATATATATGTATATGTATACATATATATATGTTCTTTTTCAGAGTCTTTTCCTTAAAAGTTATTACAAAAACCGAATATAGCTCCTCGTGCCCTACAGGGTTTGTCAGTTATGTACTTTATATATTACAGTGTGTATATGTTCACCATTGCCCTACACCCAGGCCAACACCTGATATGGCAGGGCTTCCTCACTTTGGCAGCCTCAGGGACATGAAATGTGCCTCCCAGGGACTTAAATATGCATCTCCCTCATTGGTCTTCCAGCTTGGAAAGTGAACAAGCAAGGTGTTGATTTAGTTGTGTCTCAAGGTGCCATGGGGAAAAGCAGAACAACTAAATGGTGAGGTATCAGTGGAACCCACGGGACACCTACACACGGGATGTGGTCAGAGGACCAGCGGAGACCCACCCTCTCCCACGGCTGCTCCAAGCCAGGCTGCACTAACAGTGGTCTCTCTGTGTAAAAACTTGTTATCGAGAGAGTAACACTGACATATATATATAAAGGAGGCTGAGTGCCAAGAACTGATCCTTTCGAAAGGGAGTGCTAGAGAAGACTCTTGAGAGTCCCACGGACTGCAAGGAGATTAAACCAGTCCATCCTAAAGGAAATAAACCCTGAATATTCATTGCAAGGACTGATGCTGAAGCTGAAGCTCCAATACTTTGGCCACCTGATGCAAAGAGTTGACTCACTGGAAAAGACTCTGATGCTGGGAAAGATTGACAGCAAAAGGAGAAGACGGTGGCAGAGGATGAGATGGTTAGATAGCACCACTGACTTAGTGGACATGACTTTGTGCAAACTCTGGGAGATAGTGAAGGACAGGCGAGCCCGATGTGCTGCAGTCCATGGGGTAGCAAAAAGCTGGACATGACTTAGCGACTGAAGAACAAATGAACATATACACACTCCCATGTGTAAAACAGAGAGCGAGCAAAAGCGCTGTGCCGCTCGGGGAGCTCTGCCCCGTGCTCTGGGATGACCTAGAGAGCTGGGGCTGGGGGAAGGAGTAGGAGGGAGGCAGGGGATGTGTGTACACATATAGCGGATTCATTTCATTGTGCAGCAGAAACTAACAACACTGTAAAGCAATTATACCCTAATTAAAAAATAAATCTTAAAAACCCTGTTATTCATTTGGGATGGTCATTTGATAGACCAGGAAGCTTTGTTCTCATAGGACTTTAACTGAGAACCAACAGGTAAGCGGGAAGATATGTTATTTTTCCAAGTATAAGACAGAAGGAGTAAAATAACAATTACCGACTCTGAAAGATGACATGGTTCTTTTAAAATCATTCTGAAGTTTTAATTTTATAAAACAGGCACACAAAAAAAAAGTCCACAGCTGCATTTACATGGAAATTCGAGGGTAGGATTACTCTGCTCAGCTCTTTGGAAAAAACAATCTTTAGTAAGTCTACTCATAAAAGTAAGTCTACTCTTTACTGCAAAGAAAACTTTGAATAATAGGATTCTTCCATGGTACACAAGTTTTAATCTTGGGTTCAGAGCAGACTTCCTTTTGGCTGGAAAATAGAATACTTAATCAAATATATTACTTAATGTACAAACATGTCTATAATCAAATGTATAATCCAAAGGTAATTCATATTTATGTTTTTAAAAGTTACTGTTAAGACATAGGACATCATACATTTAAAAAAAAACCATATTGTTCCCCACCAGCCCCTCAAACAAGGTTTTAGGGAACAATTCAAAAGTCCACGGGGACTTAAGGATTAACCACTAGTGTAAAAATGCAAGGGCAACTGGCATAAATGGCATAAAATGTCCAAAAAGAAATGCCTAATAATATTTCCAACTCTTTTCCAACAGGATTATTCCTGATACATAGTTCTAACTGGACATGTAATTTCCAAGTGACGCATGGACCCAGCTTCTCATGCCAAGGGAAGTGTCTCTAGCTACTGACCAAGAAACAAAAAAGGAAAGACACCAAGAATAAAGCTTAGAAAAAATTTTTAAAGGAGTAAGTATCTGTAAAAAAAGATAGTCAGATCAAAGTTGAGTATTTTCATACTGACCTAAAAATGTATCGGAGTTAGGTATTGTCATATTGACCTAAAAATACACCCATGTCTGCACTCACAGCAAGACATGGAGAAGGGTCAGGGCGTCCTAACCAGCTGACCTACCTGTGGCGTCCAGGTGCGGGAACAGACAAAGGTCGTGAGGTATTTTTTCAACAGGCACCGTGGATGCTGATCTGTGGATAAAGCAGACACTCCCGTGGGTCCCAAGCTACAGAAGAAACCAGTACCTTCCAAAGTCTTTTCATAACTTACAGGAATCTAAGCTATGAATATGTAACACATGACGTGTGCATGGATAAGAACAGGTAAGATCATCAGGAGGCAATTCTTAAAATAATTTCAAGAAGCCTGTGGGTCATCTGCTCCTCGAGGGGGTCATCACTGATCTCTGAGGCTCCTCTAGGTCACTTCCTGGGCATGTCGCTTGTTAAAGCATCACAGAAATGTTCTCAATCATATTTAGGACATGCAGAAATGTCAGCTTGCACTGACTTTCATTAAAGTCAGACTTCCCCTTATTAATGACTTTCTGCTGACTTCTGATTTCTGGGGTCCGTGGGTATATGGGTTGAGGCCACACTGAAAAGTAGATCCTTAAAGAAAAATCTCAGAACTGATGATTCTTAAAATGTGAAGTAGGCTTGTTAGTCTAGGACAGAAGTCTGTGCTGCTGTTCAGTAAAAAGTTGCTGAACAAATATAAAAACTATCGCTCCAGGGGAAAAAGGCAAATTGGGTTTCCAGGAGATGTACAGGTTGACTTTATAGAAACTGCACAGGTGAACAGTTACGTAAACTCCAAGTAAATATTAATGAGGGCACTTAGTGGGATCATCTATGGTGCCAGCTCTCAAAGCAGGGTCTCCAAGCTGTCAGGTCAGCGTCACCTGGGAGCCTGTTACATGTGGAAAAGCTCAGGCCCCATCACAGACATCCTGAATGAGAAATTCTACAGATGCGGACTGGCGATCTGTGTTTTAATGAGCTGTCTAGTGACAGATGTGAGTACAGGTGAAAACTGCTGATCCACAGGCTGCAAATTTAGGAGTCATGAATTCAAACTGAGATTCAATGAGGGGGACTGTTATTTTAGCTTTTACCTATTTCAATGTTATCCAGATAAAACTGGAGTCAGATGAGTAGCCTTGATACACTGTTAGAAACATACTCAGAATACCCGCTAAACTGTTATTCACATCAAATAACAATGAAGCTATTATTCGATTTTAAGTTTCAACTTCGGTACATGAAAAAAAAAAAGCTGCTTTCCACTCCCTTTCCATCAGTCTATTAAGAAAACAGATTCACTCAGTAAGGGATATTTACCACGGTGTATTCCAGACATTTTTAAACATATAAACATGGTACTAACAGTGACAATTTTCCAAAAATATACAGCCAGTAGGTCCACATACTATAGAACATCCTCCTTCCTCATAAACTTACAATTGAAACGTGGAGTGACCTACATTTATTTGGCAATGGAGGGACATACATCTTCATGTGGACTCTTAATTTAATCTTTTTAAAACTCCCCGAGAAATACGTATTTTACAAAGGCGAGCATTGAGGTGTGGCGTAATAAACAACCTGCTCCAGCTCACCAGGCTGCAAGGGGGCAGAGCTGAGGCCTGGACAGGCAGCTCTGGGGGGCCCCGGGGCATTAAGCACTCTGAGAACTGTCGCAGAGCACCCTGACCAGAATGCGGGACCGTGGGCATCCGACAGGTCAGCTACGCTGGGATCAAAGTGAGAGGTTACAGTCTGGAAAAGAAATTCCTCAAGAAGCAGGCCCTGCGTGTCCTGCACATAACAGATGCTCCATACATGTCTTCCTGTCGCCTCAACTCCTGTGCTAGGTTGTGACCAGCTTTCTAACAAAAACAGCCCTATTTCCATCCTCTTGAAAGACACTTCATAGCTTTGTGGAAAAACACACTTACTGTTTTTCTGGCTGCACAACTGCAATCTTTCTCTTCTTTTGTGCTGTAAAACAGGCAAAAGGAGGAAAAAAGAAAAGCAGCTTTTTCAGCGAGTTGGGAATAAGTTTTTTTTTTTTTAATGACTCCATAGGTATAGAACTGTGTCTGTTTTTAAAGTAACAATTTTAAAACTGAAAAGTTACTTCATTCCAGCCACAGTTTTATCTTCATCTCTTCCAGCACAAAACAGACTTTGACTTTTCAGAAATGAAATCTAAAGAGAATTTAGTGCATTTTACCTTATCACTACATGGGCTACTTTATTCTAAAATGTGCTTCTAATAAAAATAATGCACATATCAGACCTCTCAGGAACACAGCTGGTGAAATGGACTGGTACAAGCATGATTATACAGATGACTTATTCCCACAGAAGTGTGGTAAGGTAAATAATTTTACCATAGAAGCATGCTCCCGAATTAGGATTAGAGGCATTTTATAAACTACAACATTTTATCATTGAAAAGTGGATTGGCACCTAGCAAATATATACATCTGTCAAATAGTGACAGAAATCAGCCAACAATAACCTGAGGTTAAGAACATTTCCAGTTTACATTTATAACTGGTTGGAATCACCTTTACAAAGACAGACCAGAGCTTTTGGCATCTATTAACTCAGACACAGATAATCCTGCATCTTCCAACATTAGAAAAAATTAATTCTCACAGAGTTTCTAAAGCTGTCAGAGTTTGGCAGGTTTAATTAGACTTTGCCTCTTCAAAGCAAAATGCGTGTATGAGAAACAAAAGGAGAACACAAATAAATAAGAGAAATAGTGACTCAAAATTTCATCTATTCTTGATTTTATTTAGTATCCAATTCCAATACAGGCAGACCCACAGAGATGTTGTGGGTTTGGTTCCAGACCACCCCAACAGAGTGACTATCACAATTAAGGAGTGATGGGAATTTTTTGGTTTCCCAGTGCATATAAAAGTTATGTTTTATAAGTCTACTATAAATCTGTAGTCTATCAAGTGTATCATAATAATATTCTGTCTAAAAAAACAATGTATATACATTAATCAAAAATACTTATTAAAAAATGCTATCATTTGAGCTTCACTGAGTCATAGTGATGACATCAAAAGATCACTGATCACAGATAATCACAACAAATACAATAATGATGAAAAAGAAATACTGCAAAAATTACCAAAATGTGACACAAAGACACAAAGTGAAACAACATTGTCAGAAAAGTGGTATCACAGGCATGCTTGATGCAGGGTTGCCTGAAACTTTCAATATGTTAAAAATGCAGTACGTGTGACAACGAAGTCTGCCTGTAATTACTATGAGAAAGTATAAAGTCTGTGATCTCTAAAGGGAAAGATGAGTGTGTAGACTAAGTTGCCTAAGTCAGTCTTTGTTCATTGGGGTGAGACGCCCAAACTGTGAGATGTCTTGATGAGAAGCCAAACACAGCAGGCTGGGGAACAGAGAGGAAACACCGTTGTGTTCACCTTAACCTGCGTGGGGTTTCACCCAGAAAAACTCGAAATGCTCCTCCCCTCCCAAAGCCAGAGAGGGAGGGAGGGACAGGGTCAGGACACGAATTTCTGTCTCAGGCATAAGCAGGCACAGGGGGTTGGATCTAAACCTGCCCAGGGCGAGGGGGCTGAGAGCCAAGGACCAAGACATTTCAAGGGAGAATAAAAGACAAAGAAGGCCCTCAACACTGAAATCATTATTCTAAGCGCGTAATTTTAGAAATATTTTAAATTGAGGGCAAGGCATTACTGTCATTGGATGAGATTCAGTATGCAGTACCGGGTACAGGGCAGAACCTCTTAGAATCCACCTCTGTCTATAGCCTGGGCCCCTACTTTATTCACATGAATAACCCCTTCTGACTTTTAGTGAGTACCGGTAAGTCTCTTGGTTCCTTCAAAATTTCTCGACCTCAGGAAACAGGAGGCCAGCAATGTTCTGAGCATCTACGTAAATGAACCTTATGGGAGGATGCTAGAAAAAATCAGCCAGCATACAAATTACTAAAGAAAACACTAGAAATATCTGACCTATTTCACAAAAAAATTAAAAGCCTTACCTTTAAGGACATACAATTTTGAATAATACTGTTGACACTTTAGGGTGGAATTATAAATGCTAAGATTTATTATTGAATGAATTATTATATACTATAAATGAATATTTTTGAAATGGTTATCATTTTAGGACAATGACCTACAACAATTTTCCTTAAAACACACACTTGTATATATTTAAGTGGTGTGTTTGTGTGTGCGTGTGTGTGTGTGGGAAGCTGGGCTATTTTGACTACTAATATTGGTTTGATTTGGCACTTCGGTGATCAGAAGGATGTAATGTAATGCCCCTTTCAAAGTCCAATTGAAACCTCACTGGTAATTTAATGCCAAGAATCAGTTCAGGTCAGTCTCTCAGTCGTGTCCGACTCTTTGTGAACTCATGAACTGCAGCACGCCAGGCTTCCCTGTCCATCACCAACTCCCAGAGCTTGCTCAAACTCATGTCCATCGAGTCGGTGATGCCATCCGACCACCTCAACCTCTGTCATCCCCTTTTCCTCCTGCCTTCAATATTTCCCAGCATCAGAGTCTTTTCCAATGAGTCAAGTCTTTTAATCTGAGGATATAAGATGTCTTTTCTTTAACTGTGAGAATAACATTCAATGATCATGCAAAACATATTAAGTTTTAGTTTCTTCTCAAATCTAGAATTATTTTTAGCATGGTCCTAGTTGATAAATGGTATTTTTTTTTTTAATATTTTGAGGGCGGGTAAGGAGGTTTGGTTGTACAAAACTTGTTTTTGTTTCTGCAGTTTCCTTCNATATCTTTCCTTTTCTCTTTTACCTTTAGCTTCTCTTCTTTCCTCACCTATTTGTAAGACCTCCTCAGACAAGCATTTTGCCTTTTTGCATTTCTTTTTCTTGGGCATGGTCTTGATCACTGCCTCCTGTATAATGTCACAAACGTCCATCCATAGTTCTTCAGGCACCCTGTCTATCAGATCTAATCCCTTGAATCTATTTCTCCCTTCTACTGTATAATTGTAAGGGATTTGATTTAGGTCATACCTGAATGGTCTAGTGGTTTTCCCTACTTTCCTCAATTAAAGATTTGGCAATGAGGAGTTCATGATCTGAGCCACAGTCAGCTCCTGGTCTTGTTTTTGTTGACGGTTTCAAGCTTCTCCATCTTTGGCTGCAAATATGAGCAATCTGATTTCGATATTGACATCATCTGATTTCGGTGATGTCCATGTATAGAGTCTTCTCTTGTGTTGTTGGAAGAGGGTGTTTGCTATGACCAGTGCATTCTCTTGGCCAAACTCTGTTAGCCTTTGACCTGCTTTATTCTGTACTCCAAGGCCAGATTTGCCTGTTACTTCAGGTATCTCTTGACTTTATACTTTTGCACTCCAGTCCCCTATGATGAAAAGGACATCATTTTTTGGTTGTTAGTTCCAGAAGGTCTTGTAGGTGTTCATACAACCATTCAACTTCAGCTTCTTCATCATAACTGGCTGGGGCACAGACTTGGATTACTACAGTACTGAATGGTTTGCTTTGGAAACAAACAGAGATCATTCTGGCATTTATCAGCTTGCACCCAAGTACTGCATATCGGACTCTTCTGTTAACTCTGTGGGTTACTCCAGTTCTTCTAAGGGATTCTTGCCCCCAGTAGTAGATATAATGGTCATCTGAATTAAATTCGACCATTCCAGTCCATTTTAGTTCACTGATTCATAAAGTGTCGATGTTCACTCTTGCCATCTGCTGTTTGACCACTGCTAATTTATCTTGATTCATGAACCTAACATTCTAGGTTCCTATGCAATACTGTTCCTTACAGCATCCAACTTTACTTTCATCACCAGTCACATCCACAATTGGGCATTGTTTTCACTTTGGCCTCATCTCTTCATTGCCAGGAATAGTTAAGTGTTTACACCTATGTCAGTAAATTATTGGAACCAATTACGATTGGTTTTGGGGTAAACCTTAGGAAAATAAGATCTTTCTCAGATATAATCATACAAATATATAGTATTTAGCTTAAACTTGCTCATGAATTGCATACAAACAGGGAGTAAAGATCCCAGACACTCATCTCCGCCTTGTTACTGTGACTTGGTTTCTCAAGCTGGGAAATGCCTGCAGACATTCATCTCATGCAGACGCTTACAGGATGAATAAGACAAAAGTCCTGGTGTTCTGTGCAAAACAGAACATTTTTTTGATTTTTACAGTTTGGCTCCACTCTCTTTACCAAACTGCCTATTTATTCACCTAAGTCCCAGATATGCCCAGCTAGGCTCAGAGTGGGGCGATCGATACTCACAGGCTGTCTTGTGTGGTGTAGTCAGAGGGTAGGAGTTGGCCTCACACCAACCCACAGGGAAGATGTCCATAGATTCAACGTCCACGATGAACTCTGGAGCTGGGCTCTGCAGGCCTGCGGGGAGTCGAGACAACAGGTGAAAACAGGTGTTAACAACAAAGACACGGAAGAAGGAAGGGAAATCAGAACAGCTCTGAGCGGGGGCGCGGGGAGACACTGTTCTGAAAGTTGAACCCAAAGCCAATGGTATTTTACGACAGATACAAATGCCAGAGAGGTACAGTAGCAGAAGTTCACAGGGTTCCCAAGAAGGGGGCTTGGAAAAGAGATACTTTCCCCTGAAAACGAGAGGAAGAGGAAGGATAATTGGGGACAACTGCATCCTTGTCTCCACTGAAGGACAAGCATCCTTCTTTCCTAAGAATGGCTTTGAAGCTAAGGAAGGTAGTCCAGCCTGTGGGGTGGGGGCACCAAGACATTCTTCACCCAACACCAAGCAAAGGTCAACCTTCAACCAACAGAAGTTAAATGTTCCAGTTAAAAGGAACTGGGAGGGTTCAGTGACACTGGTTATAAGCAGTGAGCATCAAAGCACAATTTCCTAGGGGACATGCTCTTTTATCCTGTGACCACGTACTTCTTCTGAACTCAATTTTCAGGCTGCAGACTCTTGCCATGACACCAAAGTCACTTAGGCAGGAGTGTCTCTTTGGTGGGGATCTGCCCTCGTATCATAATAAAAATGATGCCTTTTGTTAAGTCTGCATAGCATCTGAGAGACTCTGAGAGAAGAAATCTGGATACAGCATGAGCAGGGGTTCCCAGGAACTCTGGCTGCCGAGAGAATAAATTTAGAACCTTGCAAACTAGTGAAGAAAAGGAAATTCTACACCAAATCAACAGTTCTTTAAAAACACACTTTGAGGATCGACACTCTTGAACCAAGAATCAAAAGATAAGAAAGAGCTCTATTAATGGAGTGACTCCCTGGCCCTGACCACTTAATCTTGCTTTGCTTTTGGTTTCTTCACTTGGAATCAAAACAAAAGTTAACACTCTTAGAAACTCCATCATACATCCAGGCAATCACACATCATCTGATGAATTCTGAATTGCACTTCCCCTTCTGGAAGCTCAGTACCAGCAAACATAAAATCTTCTCACTATTTCGGCTACACTGGCTCCCAGAGTACGTTATTTGATAAACCCAGGTACCAGATTTAGCACTAAAACCTAACTTTGGTGTACACAAAATGCCTGGAATACTGACAGCAGACACTCATACACGTGTTATCACCTCCAGTCACCACACTGAACTTCTGATGTGTTCTCAGAGAAAGTCATTACTACGGTTATCAATCCTAACTTCATTTTCACTGAATTCTCTGATAATGTGAAAGATATATAACCTACAAGAATGCAAGCAGGATAACAGGGCTTAGGTTCCAACACAGCTGAATGAATAGAAAGCATTTCTGCCCTGCATTAAATGACTCAACCAACATTTAGCCAATCTGCTAAAGAAATCATCCAATAAATAAAACTGCCACAACAGACAAAAGCTAAAGAAACTCTCCCCAACCAGCTTCAAATACAAAACTGATCTTTTCTTGTTGCGAAGGGCATTGGATTCGGCAGACGGGCCAATGAAAAGTCACCGAGCTGTTTCCCATCATACCAGGCACTGCCTCACCTTCAGGCTCACAAAAATACAGACCAAGCCTATTTCTTAGCTACTCAGCGATTTTGCTAACAGGCTGAATTCATCTACTACGTACAAATTATTTCTAGATTCGTGTTTAGGTGCAAATCAGATTTTCAAGGTCAAAGTCGTACTTCAGGAGGGAGTATAAAGTGAACTTTATAGATTACTTCTTCCCAAATGCTCTGCTAGTTCAGACATCACATCATATTAGTGTGCTTCAACATACACACTTGTGTAACAATATAAACATTCATATATTTTTTTCCTAAGAACCATTTTGCTTTTTAGTTTTTTAATTTATCTTATTTTTGGCTCTGCTAGGTCTTCACTGCCACACATGGGCTTTCTCTCATCATGGCGAGGGGCGTCTACTCTCCAGTCCCGGTTCCTGGGCTTCTGTAGTTGTGGGGCACACACTTAACTGCCCGACAAAAGGCACGTGGGGTCTTCCGGGATCAGAGACCAACCCACATCCCCTGCAATGGAGGGTGGATCCTTAACCACTGGCCCACCGCTCCTCTGTCCATGGGATCTCCCGGGCAAGAAATATCTGAGTGGATTGTCATTTCCTTCTGCAGGGGACGGATCCCTGCCCACTGGAGGCGGCTTCCTGACCACTGTGTCACCTGGGAAGCCCTTAACCTCGTCTAGTGTTGACACTAACAGTCAGATGGGCTGAAGTGTGCAATGAGAAGGTAAAGCACTGGAAGACAGAAAAGCAGGACCTGGGTCCAGGAAACCCTGCCCTCCATCCACTCCACACTGTCCATGTGCAGACGCTGGCCCACAGAGCAAGATCTCAGAGAGGCCCTCACTCATTTCAGCCCTGGAGCTAAATTCCTAAGGAATCAAGACACAGCAAAACTAGCTGATAAGAGTGACACAGGATAGGAAACCATCAGAAAGAAAACAACAGAAATGGGATTAAATGTGTAAGTGGAGGGAGAGGTCCATGGATGGTGAACTCTGAGGACACTCACTCTCATGCAGGTACTTTTCAAAGAGTTTTATCCTTTCGACCCTAAGAGATCAGATGGTTTTCACTCCCATTTTACAGATGAGTAAACGAAGCTGAAGCTCCAATATTCACACCTGATGCAAAGAGCCAACTTACTGGCCATGACCCTGATGCTGAGACAGACTGAGGGCAGGAGAGAGCAGCAGAGGATGAGATGGTTGGATGGCATCACCGACTCAGTGAACATGAACCTGGGCAAACTCGGACAGACAGAGAGGGCCAGGAGGCCTGGCGAGCTGCAGTCCATGGGGTCACAAAGAGCTGGACATGGCT